GAATTCTTTGAAAGACGTTTTTACGAAAGATATAATGCCCTGTAAAACACAGTACACCTGCAAGGGCTCATCCGAGAATTGAACCCGGATCCTCTCGCAATCGAAGCGAGAATCATACAGATAGACCAATGAACCACTAAATTGAGAGAATTTCACAAGGCGTCAGATAGTCAGAAATCTTTCCCTAACGAATCAAGGGCACCCTAAGTGAGAATCATGCCCCTAGACCACCAAGCCACTGCAAAACAGCAACTTTATATGGCAACACTATCTGCTGACGAACTGGCATTCTCAGAAAAAAAGGCCTCTGTGTAAGCCACAACGACCTTACAAAACAGCAGACAACTGTAAGGGCTCAACCGAAATTTGAATCTGGGATTTTCATTGCATGAACGAAAATCATACTCCTAGACCAGCAAGCCACTATGCAAAGGAATGTTTTATGTGGCGACACTATCTGCTGACAAACTGGAATTCTTCGAAAGACATTTTAATGATAGACATAGTGCCCTATAAAACACATAACATCTGCAAGGGCTCGTCCGGGATTTGAACCCAGGACCTTTCACACCCAATGCACGAATCATACCCCTAGACCAACGAGCCACTAAATTAAGTTATTTCACATGGTGTCAGAAGCATCAGATAGTCAGAAAACTTTCTCTAACGAATCAAGGGCACCCTAAGCGAGAATCATACCCCTAGATCAATGAGCCACTGCAAAACAGTAACTTTATATGGCAACACTATCAGCTGACGAACTGGCATTCTCAGAAAAAAGGCCTCTGTGTAAGCCACAACGCCCTTACAAAACAGCAGACAACTGTAAGGGCTCAACCGAAATTTGAATCTGGGATTTCTCACAGCATGAACGAGAATCATAGTCCTAGACAACCAAACCACTATGCAAAGGAATGTTTTATGCGCCGACACTATCTGCTGACAAACTGGAATTCTTCGAAATACATTTTTTTGTCTTTATTTTAACAAAACAAAAAAGAACAGAACAATGACAACAGCTTACAACCAAGAAATTTCTTAGCATCACAGCACATAATGAAAATCAAAATCAAAAAGAAGACATAAAAATACAGAGTAATAATAAAAATAGAAAAGTACATAAATTAACCAAAGTTTATGGTGATCTAAGGTTTTGCAAAAATGTACCTGAAATCCTAGGACCTACATATTCAAGCAACGGAGTCTAGATCTGATAAAAAGTGTTTTTCTATGGAGAGAGATTAGACTCAATAATAATTCACGCAAAAGACACGATGTACACATGCGTAGCAAAATTCACATGCGTAAAATATTTATTTATACTCACAAAAACAATTCACATGCACAAAATAAAAATACATTTTCATAAAATACATTTCACAAATGCAAAACACCATTTGCAAATATATAAGAGTGTACAAAAAGTTTTGAATGTTTAAAATTCACGAGTTCATCCTGAATGAGAATGTGCAAATCCTCTCTCACGTACGACTCACCCTGAATACGAGTGTGTGCATTTTTGAGACTTTCCTGTCAGCACACACCTCCCATGTGAGTCACTCGTGCCCTGTAGCCAATAAGATGCGAGCTTACTGTTCAACCAATCACAACTCCCTGAGAACGTGGGAATGACCGAAGCGCTTCACTGTGCGCTCCATTTGTGCAGTCTGACCTAATTAACGGAGATGATCCTCTAAGAAGAAGAATGCTCCTCTATTTAGCATGGCAGGTGAAGAGCGGGATGCGCGGGTAAGTGGTTACTTGATTTCTATAGTGGTTTATGTATGCAAAGATTAAGTATCAAACGTTTGTTAAAGCAATGGCTGCTGTTGTTTATAATGTAAACTTTATACCGTAAATTAAGTCCGTTATTAAGCCAACATGGCGAGTGAAGAACGGGATGGTCGTGTAAAATAGCATGGCTTCTGTCATGGTCGATTCTAGGATTGTCATTCAAGGGAGCTCAGCTATAAATTTGATCGAGGACTAATTTGGGGGTGGAATCGATCGCGTACTAATGTGAAGACCGGGAGAGCGTAATGCCGTTTTGGGTGTGGGTGGGTATGGGGGGTGGAGAGAGGAGATGATCGCCGACTGTAAGGAACGGGCGGGGTGGGGGTCGGCAGTGTTGATCGCGGACTATGAAGATAACAAATGATAAAAGGTATAATTGGTATTTGTCTTACAGGCACTGTCATCAGAAGTAGAAATAGCAGCAAAAGCTCTGATCGATGTATTAGCCAGGGGCCTTACTCCATCTTCGTAAAGAAATGCACTAGCTAGTGGTAGTAGACCAATGAGAGAAAGCATCTCAAGTGGGACCATTCCTTTGCCTGCAGAGCCTGAAAACATGGTAAGGAAAGCCTTAAAAAGGTAATTTTTCATGTTTACTGTAAAACACAACTTTTTGTGTCATGCAAAAAATGTTTCTTATTATTAATATGTTTATTCTTTTTGCCCTTTTGTCACTATAGGCAATTCCCAAGTATGTTTGGGACAGAGATTTTTCTGTGGCCAAACCTGGAAACATTAAAAAAACTGATTTTCAAATCCATGTCCTCTCTGAACCATCACCCTTCACACCAAAAGGAGATGAAGACCTTGAGCTTGTCCATTCTGGACTTGGAAAAAGGCTTTTAACTGTTCCAGATAATTTTAAACACAGTGAGGTAGTTGCAAATGTTACCATAACACTAGGAATTGATGGGAGTTTTATATCTGTTGGAAAAAAAAACAACTAAATGATGAATTTTGTTTCATTCTTAAGATTGTCAGTCTGCTTGAAGGAGAGTTTCCCAAATTAAAAACACTTCAGGGTGGCTGGATGTTTTACAAGTCTACAGGTATTTATGTTTTGCATGTTACATATAAACAAAAAATGATTTGTGTGCATTTGCAATAATTTTGCACTTTTGTAAATTAATGAAACTGCTATGTGCTTTTTTGGCGTTAATAATTTAGTAATAAGCTTCATTAGTTTAAACTTTTTAGTCAAGGACATGTTTCTCTGCCATGTTCTAAGATTATGGCATGCCCTACTTCAGTTTTCCAGTGGTAAACAGAGCTTTATAGAACATTTCTGTCCAAAATTTTAGGTGACACATTTATAACAATATTGCTAGCCCAAGAAGGCAACAGTAGTCCTGAATGTGATTCTCAATTGATTTTGCCATTAGGTGGGGGTGGGCGGCGTAAGCTGTCTATAATTCCCACAGATGCTGATGGATACTCAACTCGACTCCTAAAATCAGTGTCAAATAATGGAAAGAACATGCTGTTTGTAGTTCCATTACAGGAACAGCTTTCCACTGAACCATTACCTTATGATTCTGTGGAGTTTGCTAAGATGCCACAGTCCAGCTGTATGAAATGTGGTAAGAAAATACCACTGCCATTGCTGCTCTTACACATTGAAGAGTGTAAAGAAGCTGAGACAGTAAGTCATACAGTATTATGGTTTTATTTTTCTATCAATATTATTTATTTACAATGCCAATGCATTTTGATTACTTTTATTAGAAGTCTTCAAATGATGTGACCATTCTAGATGATGATGTAGACGAAAATGTAATCGAAACTGTTGACCAGCCAAGCCCACTTCACCCCATCTTAGAACCATCATTACAGGTCTTTGATCAAAGCCTATTTCTTGTATTTGGGTATACTCACTATATTTGAATATACCCAATTCGTGGTTCCATAAAGAATGTGTTTGAAGCTATTCAAAATTTGAGACTATTCTTAATATTTTAGAATCTTTTTATGGGGTAGAATATGTATGTTCTTCAACAAATTTGCTACAAACATACATTGTTTAATTTATTTTTACTTTTTACAGATTTGTCCAATTTGCCAGATCTCTTTCCCAACTGATGTCTTGCCTTTTCATGCAAGCATGTGTGGTGAAGGGTAAAGTTATGCTAAAAATTGTAGGATGACATGCCTTTAATACTAAAGGATTAGTTTGCACAGTTTGTTTTGGTTGTATATATCTCGAGGGAGATGTACAAAGATCAGATGGAATGTAGGGTAAAAAATTAACAAAATAATTTTCTGGTGGACTGTCTTAAATTTAAATTAATGTGTTGGTTTCATAAACTGGGTCAGTAGTAGACATTATTAGATTTGATGTATGTAGCTTTTATAAGCCTTGCTTTGAGAAAATCATTACTGGTGACTTTTGACATTAATGACTTTGTCTGGCACTAGGGTCTAAGCCTTGTCTATGAAACTGGGCAAATGCTTTTAATATGCATGAAAATTTTTGAAGTGGCTTAATGAACAAAATTGAAATTGTTTGTGTCTTGCCTGTTTTAGAGAAAGGACTTTTGGTGACAATGATTCTTCATTCACTTTAAATACAGAAGAATTGCCAGGACCCTCAACTGCACAATCTTCAACATCCCTGTCTGCAGGTTAGACACAACACATTTTATTTTTTTTTTAGTGCTGTTGTACTGTAAAATGATAAGTGCATCTTTATTCATTTATTCTTTTATCTTTTTTGTATTGTTATTCAACTATGCTTGTAAAATGGTATTTAGATAAATTGTTCATTTGATTTCAGCATGGAAAAATGAAATTGACCCATTCAAATCATCTCGAATGTTCTGTGATGAGTTGCTCTCCATCAATTCACACTGTCCATTTCTATCATTACTCATCAACCAGTTTGATACTATGGATGAACAAGATAGTACCCTGGTTTCATTTTATAAAATGAACAGTGCTAATTGGTCCACTCCATTGAAATATAGATTGACTGGTACTCCTTTTTTTATTATTAAAATCATTTGAATCGCTTATAGTCTGTACAGTTTGTGCAACGAACTTGCTTCATTTTGGGGTTTTTTTTCAGGAGATGCAGCTGTTGGCAAGGGAGTTAACCGCCATATTTTGTCAATGATGATGCAAAAACTAAAGACTGGCTTCACTTTAAATTTGGGTTTGTAATTGGTTGCAGTTCGGTTACATGTGCACACACACACACACACACGCACACGCACACACACACATATATATATATATATATATAAAGTTAATTTTCGTCAACACTGCCTGTAACCCTGACCTTTTTCTGTATGATTTCGTGCACTGTACTTGAGAAGCCTTTTGCACACCTAATAAGATGTAAAATATTCATAACATTATCTTTCTATTTAATGGTGGGCAATGCAGATCGATGCTGACTGGTACCATTACAGTGCATACAGAGAAAACATTTGTTTAGAATTTTACAGATGTGATTTGATGTTTTATGTCTCTTTTGCTTTTGGGCTATTACAGATTTTATACAACTAGTACTATTAGTTAATTCTTACTGATTGGATTTTTTAGGTTCATCTACTACAGCCCTTTTTGAGGGGGAAAAAAACCACCGTGTACTTTCTGCATCTGCTGTACTACGGGACAGCAACCTGTTCCAGATGGCTGGCCGGATGATAAGCCATTCATTTTTGCATGGAGGTCCTAGTCTTTCTGGACTGAGCATACCCGTGGTCATAATCAGCTCAGACCTCGTTTATTTTAAAATAATTTAATTCACAGGAAATAGAAAAATAAGAAAGTTACATTTCTTTTTTAATTCTCCCCAAAATTAAAGAACTTCAGTTCAATCTTTATTCATTTATTCTTTTATCTTTTTTGTATTGTTATTCAACTATGCTTGTAAAATGGTATTTAGATAAATTGTTCATTTGATTTCAGCATGGAAAAATGAAATTGACCCATTCAAATCATCTCGAATGTTCTGTGATGAGTTGCTCTCCATCAATTCACACTGTCCATTTCTATCATTACTCATCAACCAGTTTGATACTATGGATGAACAAGATAGTACCCTGGTTTCATTTTATAAAATGAACAGTGCTAATTGGTCCACTCCATTGAAATATAGATTGACTGGTACTCCTTTTTTTATTATTAAAATCATTTGAATCGCTTATAGTCTGTACAGTTTGTGCAACGAACTTGCTTCATTTTGGGGTTTTTTTTCAGGAGATGCAGCTGTTGGCAAGGGAGTTAACCGCCATATTTTGTCAATGATGATGCAAAAACTAAAGACTGGCTTCACTTTAAATTTGGGTTTGTAATTGGTTGCAGTTCGGTTACATGTGCACACACACACACACACACGCACACGCACACACACACATATATATATATATATATATATATATATAAAGTTAATTTTCGTCAACACTGCCTGTAACCCTGACCTTTTTCTGTATGATTTCGTGCACTGTACTTGAGAAGCCTTTTGCACACCTAATAAGATGTAAAATATTCATAACATTATCTTTCTATTTAATGGTGGGCAATGCAGATCGATGCTGACTGGTACCATTACAGTGCATACAGAGAAAACATTTGTTTAGAATTTTACAGATGTGATTTGATGTTTTATGTCTCTTTTGCTTTTGGGCTATTACAGATTTTATACAACTAGTACTATTAGTTAATTCTTACTGATTGGATTTTTTAGGTTCATCTACTACAGCCCTTTTTGAGGGGGAAAAAAACCACCGTGTACTTTCTGCATCTGCTGTACTACGGGACAGCAACCTGTTCCAGATGGCTGGCCGGATGATAAGCCATTCATTTTTGCATGGAGGTCCTAGTCTTTCTGGACTGAGCATACCCGTGGTCATAATCAGCTCAGACCTCGTTTATTTTAAAATAATTTAATTCACAGGAAATAGAAAAATAAGAAAGTTACATTTCTTTTTTAATTCTCCCCAAAATTAAAGAACTTCAGTTAAAATGATTAATGATGTGTCTCCATCAAAAGAATTCTTGAGATTAAAAGTTGATACTGAGGAGAACTTGTCAATTTTGTGAAAGTTATTGAAAACACTGAGCATGTTTATACAATTGCATATACTCATGTACATGACTCATAACACATAATGTCGCGCACATCATTAATTCTATTTTATTTACTTGTGTAAATATATATTTATTCACTTTTTAAATTAAATACAGTAATATTATTGACTAATATGAAAATGTTTATCTGATTTATGTACAATGCAGTTTTTACAGTAATATTTTTAGTCTTTTAGTTGAAATATTATATGAGTGACTTGCTTTGTTTATCAAATAAAGTGTATCTAATTGGATCTGCATTTTAAACATTAAATAAAAGTTTAAAAGATAATATTTTTTGTTTTACATATTTAGGTTTTAGTTATAATACTCCCAAAATATTTTGGCAGAAATCCACAGATTTTTATCAATATTCTTCGCAGAAATAGCAAAAAACGTTGACAGATTCTTTCTGGCCCTACTCATGACTCATAATACGTAATGCATAATACAGAATGTCTCATGTCAATATCCATTTAAACCCTTTTTACAATAAACAAGTTAAATTTGGTGTAACTAAAACAAATTGTACACAGCATTACCTGGTTAACAACCTTTTATGCTTTGCAAAACATTCTTCATTTGTAAATGCAGGTTTTTGGACCTTCTTTTTAAGTGTGACTTTGAGATTATTAGACTCATGAAAGGCCTAATAAAAGTATCCTCTTTCAATTTTTATTTTGCTCACCTATCATTGCTGGTTAGTAATAGTATATATATATATATATATATATATATATATATATATATATATATATATTAGGGATGCACGATATATTGGCGGCCATATCGGTATCGGCCGATAAATGCTATTTTTAGGACTATCGTTATCGATTCGATGTCTAAATTCGGCTGATATCTTTAAGCCGATAAATTACGTAATTGTACAGACTTGCGCGCTGCGCACGCGTGGGCGGAACTTGTTCAGACTTGCCCACTGCACTATAATGGATCTCTCTTCACACTGTTTATTCCTTCAAAGTCTGTCATTTCTTCAAGTGGTATTGCTGTGCGTTAATAAGTCAGTAAGTAACCATGTTCCTTATCATTGTAGATGTGTTTGATTGAGTGTCATTGTGTATTTTGCTTTAAATCGCCTCAGGAAAAATATTAACTATGTAAACCTTTCCAGCTCTGTCTCTTTGTTGTGTAGAGATAGCAGGGGATCTTAACTTATTACTCCAGGGCCGAATAATATTAGTTTCGTGGTGAATTGCCTTCTCTTTTAGTTGCAGCCGGTGAATGAACGAGGACACATGTAACTTGGTCCAAAATATTTATTACTTTTCGTGTGGTACAACAAATCAGTCACCTAAAATAGTCTCATTGCCCAAAAACCGCTCCTCTCTCTCTCCCTCTCCCTCTGCGCTTCACACACACACACACCAAACTGCAACTGGACCCGCACATTTTACAACAAGTGTAAACAGTTGTTTGTAATCTGATTATTTGTTATTATCAACACGTTGCTTGTCATGTGTTGTTGATGTAAGATGTATTCAGTTTGATCGAAATATTCATATTGATTATGACGAGCGCGCGAGCTGTCACCGCGCACACACACACACTGTAGCACGGGGGAGAGGTGAATCCAGTCATAGAGGCTCTCGACCAGCGGCTCATTCTGTCTTTATATTCAGCTCTGTTAGCCATAAAGTCAGCTCATTGCAGGTTTTGTATGAAAATCTGACTCTGATGGCAACTCTTCCTCTACAGTTGAGTAAAACTCAGCGGTTTATCATAAACTTTTCATCGATCATTTTCCACCCCGCAATTGACAGCAAGAACGAGCGCAGACGCATCTGATTGACAAGCAGCAGCTACATGTTCGAAAGAATCTAAAACGCCAAATAGCATGAATCTGTGCCGCATTTTCTAAACGTACTATCTGTAAGCTATTTACTTGTACGGTGGCTCTGAACTGTCAAAACACCTCTAAAAAAGGCTTTTTCGTACATGACGTATTTGTACATGTGTACATCACTGTAACACGTTTTATTCAAGAGCATTTGAGCTGGTTTCAGTCCTTAATGCTTTCATTGTCATCTTATTTAAATATATTTAATTTGCTTGTTGAATAAATCATATTTTGTTATTTAACCTTCTTAATTTTATGCAACAGTCAAGTTGCATGTTAATTTGCTATGAAGAAAAGGAAGTAATGTATTTTTTGCATGCTGATTTATGTGAAATCTTGAATATAGGTCTATAATCACCTTGCAATTTTGAAGTTAAAGCTTTTTTGCTTTGAGTATGGACTATTTAGTTCATAAAAGAAGTTCAATCTTTTATGAAGTTTGCTGTATAAAAATATATCATTTTGAAATATTTATAAATATCGGCCTATACATATCGGTGCATCCCTAATATATATATATATATATATATATATATATATATATATATATATATATAGGAACAATCAGAATGTTAATAATTAAATAACTTGTTACTCTTAAAATAATTTACCTTTAACACAATAAACCTAAAACTATAACCTACACACACACACCACTTGCAGACAGCACACAATATAATCTATCAGTGCACATGAGTAGTACAATATGTAATGCATATAATTAATATTTGGAATTTACAGATAGCTGAAGTCCTTCAGTAGTCTAATGAGTACTGGAATTAGCATGTAAGCTAACAAATCACTCATGTTCTCATTCACAATAGCAACACTGGGTTTCCCATACACTGATTTATTTGTAGTAATGTGGGAGTTTTCACATGAAAATTTCTTTAAGGGAAACTAGTTGTCCATAGAAAGTTTAATTGTCTTCATGAAGAAAACTTGTTTATTTTCTAAAATATGTCCATCAAAATAAAAGTGTAGTGTTTTGAAACCAAAGTCTCCATTTGTACCCACAACACATCAAGAGTTTATCAAGTCAAAATCTCATAATCTGACAAAAATCTGATCTGTGGTAACTGGCAAATGGCATTGTGTAGTCTGAACAGGGCTTTATGGAGTCTGCATCAGTCTCTCACTGTCATTGCAAGTTCACACCGGCCGAGTTTAGGTGGACTTTCAT